AAATCTGTAATAAAAAGTGTTCCTCTAAAAAACAATGTTCCTCTGAAAAAATTCAACTTCCGATGCGAATGGCTTATTTCCGGTCGAAATCTGAAGTCGAAAATATCATTTAATAAAGCGTACCCGATTTATTGTTCGCGATTTTTGATAAAAGCCATTTATTTTCATTTTAAAAGAGATGTACGGGTGGTCTGGGACACCCTGTATTTTCAAATATATATTCAAAATATTATATGTGTTTGACATTATTTTTTTCTCGACTCATGTCGACTGTTATCGACTAATTGTTGACTGTGCTCGTCTTGCAAATACATTCGTAACCCAGTCAAAAGATAGTTCAAAGCAATCGACAAAAGATTGATGATATTGTGCCGACGAGAAAGTAAATTAAGTTAATAATAGACAATCAAAATGTGTGATCAATTAACTAAAAAATGTAAGCGAAATTTTTTAGAAGCTTGGCTTACTGATCGATATAAATCTTGGATACGCAAAGTATATCCGACGATAGTCTTTATTATTGTAGTATATGCAATAATAATTATTCATTTAAATTCAACACTATCAAGACATGCAGATCTAAAAATAATATTAAGGTAAATACGTTAACTGATAATAATAATAATATTGATTTGCCAATAAAAAAATTGCGTAAATCAAAATTTCAACAAAAATTGTTAGAAATTCAGCGATTTAAATGTTGGTTACGTGAAGTGCCACATGATGCAAACTTATTTTTTTGTTCGATTTGTGATATGAATCTATCGCTGGCGGTTTTATGGCAAATCTATCATCACGCAGAATCTAATGTTCATATAAATAAAGAAAAAAATTATATTGAAACAGGAGTTTCGAATGAGGATTCAAATATACAAATTAAAGAATTACTTTTATCTTTTGATAAGCGTAAGAAATCAGCGAAAATAAGATATACAGTATTAATTGCTGATAAAAATATTCCTTATCAAACGGCAAAAGAAATTCTTAATTTTTTCCAACATATAAGAAAAGATCCTAATGTGTTGAATAGTATGAGTATGGGCCGAACAAAATGTACAAATATTATTACAAACGTTGTCTGCCCGGTTGAGACTAATCGTGTTGTCAATATTATTCAAAACACAAAATTTTCGATATTTTCGAAAATTTTCGATGAAACATCTGCACGGTAAAAAACATTTTGTATTTCTGTTAAAATTTTCTCGTGTAAAAATATTCGTGTTAAATTTTTAACATACTCTTATGTTAATGTAACATATTATCGTTGCGTTATTTTGACATTTCTGCGTTGAGTTAATATTTACCGTTTCTAAGAGTTAAAACAACACAATTAATATGTAAATGCACGAATTTTTGATGAAATATATTATACATATGTTAAAATGAACAGATAAGTTGTGTTATTTTTCTCTCTATAACAGTTTCTATATGTTAAATCGACATATCTCTTCTGTTATTTATCATACAAATGTAAAAATAACATTTTCTTTTAATTAAATTTAACATTATAAATATGTTAATTTAACATAAACTTTATTTCCAGATAAAGTTTAAGTGCTACACTTTTGTGTTAATTTTTAAACATATTACTTGTGTTATTTATTTACATACTTGCCTTTTGTTAAATTAACAATTAAAATTAGAGTGGATAAATTGGGACATGTGAAATATGTTAAATTTAACACAAAATTTTTTACTGTGTGATCTTACTAATAATAAATGAATGACTTTTTTTGTCCGATACGTTGATCCGGAGACATTAGATGTTTGCTCGCAATTAGTTAAATTACGTTGAAAGGTTATATAAACATAGTTAGAATTGTTCGATATTAACCAAAAACTGTTTGCAGTCGCCGGTTAAATATCGTCGCGTTGTCGCGTCGTGTAATAACACATGTGCGCGTGTCTTTCTTTAATCGAATGGTTTTTAATTGCCAACAGTGATTATTTGACAGTGATTGATAGTGATTAGTGATAGAATCATTGATAAATTTTTCATCTTATCGAATGAATGAATGAATGTATGTTGAAGTTTATAAAAGAATACAGTTTATCTCTGTCTTTTAGAACGTGATATCTACGTTCAATTTGAATGAAAGTATGAACTATCGGAAAATTCATTTCTCAAGAAATTACAGCAATACATCGAACAAAGTAATAATAACTATTCTTTGATGTTGTATGAAAACAGATTTCGGGATGTCAAATAAACAGTGTTAGAGAAAATTCGCGAAAGAGATGGTTTTTAGTAGGGAGTACGGAGTTAGTAGTTTGACTTGGTATTCCAGTATCACATAACTCACCGGTTCGCCCGGTGAGTATGCATAAAATGCATTTTCCCTTCTCTCTAAAAAAAACGGTACAATATAAAAAAATAATAATAATTAAAGTTAAAATATATAATAATAAAAAGTAAATAATAATTTAAGTAAGAATAATAATAACGTCAAGTAAGTAAGCAAATGCGAGAGAGAGAGAGAAAGAATAAGAATCATGTATTCGCATGTGTGTTATGTAGCGATCAGCTGATTGCAGCAAGCGCCCCACGTCTGACAGTGATCGCGCCACTCTTGCCTGCCTCTTGTATCCGTCATAAGTTAATTACTTCCTTTAATAATTCAAAAACTCAGCGTCGGACGAAATTTCGCCAAAGGAAAAATCGTGTTAGAATTGACTCAAAAATGTGTTATTTCATGGACAATATGGTTATTTCGAATTACCCTGTATATATTATGTGTGTGTGTATATGTGTGTGTGTGTATGTGTGTAAGGAAATATGTAAATAATATTTTGACCTTTTATCAATTAAAAAATTGATTATATTTTATTATTTTATTATAATTTTATTTTTTATTCTTATTTATTATTTTATTTTTATTTTATTTTTATTATTATTCATTTATTAAATTTTTTATATTTCCTTTTTAACATAAGAGACTACCACCTTCTCACGGTTTCCGTTGAACAATAAGATGTACGTCAGATGTACATTAATACAAAATAATAATAACAAAATACAATTCTATTAAAAAAAATTCTAATATATTTAAATATTATTTTATTACAATTATTTTTAATAAAAAAAACGTACATATTGGCCAAGGGTGGAAAAATTGAGATAAAAATGTTAGATAAAAATTTAGATAAAAATATATAAAATTTGTTTTTGTATATGTTATATTCTCTTTTTTAAACAATATATAAACTTTTATAAAAAAAAGTCAATAGGAAAATATTATGTGTGATAATAAGTACCCAGTAAGCAAGAAACATTTGATCAACATTCTAAAATGTTGATTTTATATAAATTTTCTAAACATTATGTTTTATAAATATTTTTAATGTGTAATGATATAATTTTATAAATATTTTTAAAATATTCTAATAAACATATTAATAACATTTAAAAAATATTTTAATTTACGTTTTATAAATATTTTAAAAATGTTATTTAATAACATCCCTCTTAAAATATTAATAAAATATTTTAGAAACATTAGTCAAAATGTTTTTTATATGTTATTAATATGTTTATTATAAATAAAAATATAACATTCAGTTAAAAGTTCGTTCGCGTTGTTATTAAACGTCGTATTATTTATTTCATACATATTTTTAGACTATTTTTTTTTTATAATATATCTTAATTTCTTTCTCATGATAGGCATGACGACACCTAATATGTTACTGAGAAACAACATTCGGTGGCATATGCGTATACACTCTATTGCGTATGCGTGATTTATTCTTTTGTTCTTTGACTTCGGAACACTCGTGCCGGTTGCCAGCGTGCGACATGTTCTTGCACGATCTCGCATAATAAGTAAGTTACAATGTTTTTGCGAGTTATAGTGCTGTACGAAAGAAGAGGAAAGTGTTTCTTCCAGTGTGTTATAACATCTTGTAAGTTATTTTTAGAGATATGTCTAAATATTCGTTCTCAGATTTTTCAATGAAAGTTCTAAAAGTAGTTCTTAAATTAATGTTAGAATTAATATTATTGTGATATTAATATTAAATTATGTAGATGTTGATACTAATGTTATTTTATTATTGATTTAATTTTATGAGAAACATTATCAGTATGTTAAAACAACAGCGTACACGAGCGTACACTCATAAAATTAAATCAATAATAAAATAACATTAGTATCAACATCTACATAACTTAATATTAATATCACAATAATATTAATTCTAACATTAATTTAAGAACTACTTTTAGAACTTTCACTGAAAAATCTGAGAACGAATATTTAAACATATCTCTAAAAATAACTTACAAGATATTATAACACACTGGAAGAAACACTTTCCTCTTCTTTCGTGCAGCACTTTAAGTCGCAAAAACATTAACTTACTTATTATGCAAGATCGTGTAAGAACAGGTGGCACGCTGGCAGCCGACACAAGTGTTCCAAAGTCAAAAGAATAAATCACGCATACGCAATAGTGCGTATACGCATATCCCACGGAATGTTCCTTCTCAATAACGTATTAGGTGTCGTCAAGGCCTTCTCGAGAAAGAAATTAAGATATATTATGAAAAAAAATAGTCTAAAGATATGTATGAAATAAATAATACGACGTTTAATAACAACGCGAACTTGTAACTAGATGTTATATTTTTATTTATAATAAACATATTAATAACATAAAAAAAACATTTTGACTAATGTTTCTAAAATATTTTATTAATATTTTAAGAGGGATGTTATTAAATAACATTTTTAAAATATTTATAAAACATAAATTAAAATATTTTTTAAATGTTATTAATATGTTTATTAGAATATTTTAAAAATATTTATAAAACATTATATCATAATGTTTAGAAAATTTATATAAAATCAACATTTTAGAATGTTGATCAAATGTTTCTTACTGGGAATAGATCCTTCTCAAAAGAGGAGGAGATAGAAGCTAATCTAACCGGTTTTCTTTATCAAGGATAACCGAAGGTAACCGAACCTATCAAAAATAGTCAAACGTCGCGCGTACACGAATGAGAACTTATGCCTTAATTCGCGAAAATAGTGTGGATACAAATTGTGCCGCCGCTGATTGTGACGCAGCGTGTGTAACCTGGTAGTTTTCTCGTACTTGACCGCCACGAAAATCTTCTGTGACCAAAATTATCCTAAAAACGAGGTATTAAAAACCGTGAGTCGTTAATTAAAAATCAATTAATAAAGAGTGCGAATCTGGACTAGTTACTAGTCAGCGCGACTATAACACTTAAAGTCTAATGGAACGAAGGAAGAGGCGACGAAAAGTGACACGAAACTCCTGAGAAGGATTCCGAAATAAGATTTATTTAAAACTCAACTAAATTGTATACAAATCTAGTTAAATAGAATAATTATACCTCAAGGAGATTTAATTATGTCTCTATTAAGAATAAATTATTGTAACGTTGTCTATAAGTCAACGTAATCTATTGTCAACATTGTAATGCTTCCTATATGAAGTATATTATCCATGCATTTTATATGCATTTCAATGAGCGGTTAATTTATAAAAATAAATTTTATTTAATATCTATTTAAAATCTATTTTTAAAATCTATTTAATATCTATTTAAAATCTATTTTTATTCTAATTATGTTTATGTGCGATCAATTATATAACCTTTATTTTATTTATATCGATCAATAATTTATTTAAGTTTTTTTTCTTTTTTTAATTTAATTTGACATTCTTTTGTAAAAGATACACAAAGAATCGAAACATTTGTTCAATTATTTTTTAACACGTTTATAAAATTTTAATTATTACATTTATTCCATCCTAGACTCCAATGATTCGTCTTTCTTTTTTTTAATTATAATTTGTCACAAAAGTCTCATTAATCCAATTAAAATTACTGTCGGAAAAAAGATAAAAACATATAAGCATGTTAAAGTTTTTCTTTATATTAATAAAAAAATAGAAAGAAAAATAATGTTACATTTAAAAAGAATAATGGAAAAAACTAAATTTATTTTTTTTCAACGTTTCTTCCTATTAAGAAAACAACTTTTTTACATCTTTATATATGACTTGATCGATTTATTTTCTAATGTTAATATATTTTTTTTCATAGGTACTGCGTAAAATTTGAAACACATATCAAAATGGGAACAACGAACGCACAAACCAATTCGGGACACGCACACGATGAGACTCACTCGAGAGGAAGTTCAATCGACACATTCTTCGCCGAAACGGTGATCTTTGTAACGGGTGCCACTGGTTTCTTAGGGAAAGCCCTCCTGGAGAAGCTGCTGCGCTCGTGTCCTCGTGTGGCTACAATTTTCGTTTTAATCCGTCCAAAAAGAAGTCAGTCTATCGAAGAACGCTTCAGGGAACTACTGGAAAATCCTGTTTGTATAGATATATTATATCGCTTATTATATCGCTTATCATATCGCAAAATCATTCGAAAAGAAAATATCGAAGTGCTCCAGTTTCATTAAGCTGAATAAAAAACTAATAAAAATAGTAACAAAGGATACATCGAAATTAAGAAAGTTAACAGAATTAGACTGTCGTTTAAATATACATTATGAAAAAAAAACACACATAGATTGCAAATTTTTAAATTCTAAAAAAATTAAAGTCTCAGACAGTCTATTATTTTTGAAAGATGCCAAAATTAAGCTCTTTTGAAAAATAGAGATATATTCTCTCTTTCGAATAATCCTACATTATCGAATTTACAGAAATCTTACAAAGCTTCATTTTACTTCCTTTCTTTAATTTTTTCATAAATTAATTTTGCTGTATTCGCAGGTTGATATTCCTTATAGACGTAATAGTATGCGCACATATTAAAAATTAATGCTAATATTGATTTTGACTGTATAACTTCGTCTATAGAGGGGGTGATTCAAATATTTTATCTGTAGCATGCTTATACTTGAAGGAAGTCTCAAATACGGTCATCAAAACGAAAGATCGCGATTGTTACCATTCTCACGACTATTTCCCCTAATTATTATCTAATGAAGCTATGTCTGTTGATACGTATCGAGAAAAGTCGATAAAAAAATCGCGCCACAAATATTTTTCAGTACATGTAAAATAACAATACATATAAAGTAAGAAATATACCGAAAGTGAAAGTTGATAGAATTAGACTACCATTTAAATGTATGTCATAGGGGAAAAAACACACGTAAAAAATTTTAAAATTCTAAAAAAATTAAACCTTCAAACAGTCTATCAGTAGATATTTTTTATTCTATAATTTTTATTTTTTATTATTTTTTATTGTTACAAACTGCAGATTTATAAGTTGAAAGATGCGCATTTTTTGCGAAACAACGGTTCTCTTCTCTGTCGCAGGTTTTCGATAGAATACGATCGGAAATTCCTGGCGCCTTAAATAAGATCTTCCCCGTTAAGGGCGACGTGGGCATGCCGGAACTGGGACTTCAGCCCGAAGACAAGGATATGTTAATACAGCGAGTTAACATTGTTTTTCATAGTGCAGCCACCGTGCGTTTTAATGAGCCGTTGAAAGTGGCCGTTAATCTAAACACAAGAGGCACTGAACGTATGCTAGACTTGTGTAGGCACATGACGAACCTTATTAGCGTCATTCACGTTAGCACGGCCTACAGTAACGCCGATCGACAAGAAATTGAGGAATCGATATATATGTAAGCTTTCAATTATAGTTAAAAAAAAGTACAAATATTTCACAAATAAGAATTTTAATAAAACTATTTATTAACTATTATTAAATTATTTATTAAATTATTAAATTATTAAATTATTCCAAATTTATATTATTGCATTATTAAATTTTTATTTTTATATTATTACATTATATTATTATTTTAATATTACATTATATTATTATTATTATTATTTTTATTTTTATATTATTACATTATATTTTTATATTATTACATTATTAAATTTTATTAAATTATTAAATTATTCCAAAATTATATTATTACAACACAAACAGTATTTATTAGGTTATTCATTTTTATACATTTATATTGTATATTTTTCTATTTTATTTTTTTATACATGATACGAACCAGACTCTGCAAAATTAAATTCGTTTTTCGAGGCGCGATAATAAATATATATTTAATAAAGCATATGCTGTAGAAAAATATCCTTATAACGATACACATTGCCAATATTACAGCACGGAGATAAAGCCGTACACAGTAATCGATATGTGCGAAAATTTGGATGACGAAACGATAGGAATAATAGAGAAGAGATTAATCGGTAATCATCCAAATACTTATACGTTGACCAAAGGTTTGGCAGAGCAGATTGTGCTGTCCAAGGGAAGCGATTTACCAATCGCGATCGTACGACCGAGTATAGTTTGCGCAGCGTATCAAGAACCATTTCCAGGATGGGTAGATAATGTTTACGGTATTACAGGTACAATCTATATTGAAAAAGTGATTGAAAATTGATTGAAATTTTGACAGGAAACCTACTGGGGAAAAAAGTTCACACATATACGTAAAATCAAATATAAATAATAAATCATATAAAATATATCCATGTATGTTTTTTCTCTTGTATAATAAATTCTATTTATATATAAAAAAGAATCAGAAAAATAATTGAGAATAAATTAGAGGAGATTAATTTTAATATACAGGGTGTCTTAGACCACCCCTTTTAAAATGAAAATAAATGGCTTTTCTCAAAAATCGCGAACAATTTTTAAGTAAATCGGATACGATATATCAAATGATGATATTTTGAACTTTTGATTCCCATCCGAAATATGCCATCCGGATTGAAAGTTGAATTTTTTTAGGGGAATATGGTACTTTCTGTTACAGATTCGAATTGTACATGAAAAAATAAGAAACTTTTGTATTAAACGTTTTTTCTGAAAGTGCCTCTGTCAGTTTTAAAATTGACCTTGAAAATAACTGTGATGAAATAATAAAGATCAATTTTTTTGACAGAGGCACTTTCAGAAAAACGTTTGATACAAAAGTTTCTTATTTCTTCACGTATAATTCGAATCTGTAATAAGAAGTACCATGTATCCTCAAAAAAATTCAACTTCCGATCCGGATGGCATATTTCCGATCGGAATCAAAAGTTGAAAATATCACCATTTGATAGACCGTACCCGATGTACTTAAAAATTGTTCGCGATGGCGAAAAGTCACTTATTTTCATTTTAAAAGGGGTGTACGGATGGTCTGAAACACTCTGTATATTTATGTTTGATTATATGTAAGAATAATTTTTTCTCGTTTCTTTAGTTGGATATTTTATTATATTTATATATAATTTATTTTATATAATATTATAAAATATTATATTTATAAGCCTAAATTGCTCATTGTATTTTATATAATTTTTAAGCCTATTGCTTTTTTATAAAAAGTTATTAAAAATATGGAAAAGAATAAGCACGATATACAGGGTGACCCATTTTAATTTCCCCAGCCAAATATTTCAGAAAATAATGAAAAATCGAAAAAATGTTTCAGACAAAAGTTGTATGGTTTTCAGGGGGACATAAGATGACACCATTGGTTTGACCTTGAAGAGTTATTTGAAGGTCACATGAAGGTCACCTTCAATTTCTTAAATGGAACCTACATTTTCTCATTAAATATTCTTGTAGCTTATCTCGAGAGCTTTCCAAAACACTATAATTAAGTTAGTTTTCATTAAGTACTTTCCGAATTATGAGGCTTGAAATTATTTCTGAATTTTGCATAAATCATAAAATATCTTGTAAAATATTCATTTTTCGATTATCTTACCTTAATACTTTTATGTACAAAATAATGAGAGGAATCAATTGGTGTAAAGAAAATAGTTATTTTTAAGAAAAAATATGTAATTTGCAATTAACAATTACATATTTTTTCTTTGAAACAACTATGTGTTTTTTTTACACCAATTGATTTCTCTCATTATTTTGTACATAAAGGTATTAAGGCAAGATAATCGAAAAATGAATATTTTACTAGATATATTACGGTTTATGTTAAATTAAGAAATGATTTCAAGCCTCATAACTCGAAAAGTACTCAATAAAAAAATATTTTATTATAGTGTTTTGGAAAGCTCTCGAGATAAGCTACAAGAATATGTAATGAGAAAATGTAAGTTCCATTTAAGAAATTGAAGGTGACCTTCATGTGACCTTCAAATAACTCTTCAAGATCAAACCAATGGTGCCATCTTATGTCCCCCTAGAAACCATACAACTTTTGTCTGAAACATTTTTTCGATTTTTCATTATTTTCCGAAATATTTGACTGGGGAAATTAAAATGGGTCACCCTATATATAATTAATCGCTCATATAACATGTTCGTGACATTAGCTTGAAGAATTTTATTAAAAACGAATTATTATATAATGAAGAATAAAAATATTAAAAGTTTAAATTGTATAAAATGAACCGAACATTTCTAATAAATTAATTTTCTTCTATTAATTATATAGACGTGTATACAGAAAAAAACAAGTGTCAAATCAAAAACTTAAACTAACGCGTTTATTGTTTCGTATATACGCAACAATCTATAATCTTCTTAGAAGAATTTAATAATTTTAAATTTTAACAATATTATATTTTTATTTTAATATTGTAATTGTCACCTCAAGAATATATAATTATTTAATTTCACTTTAAGAAAATTATAATCTTCGATTTAAAAATGTTATTATCCAGCATTGTTTCTTTTCCATTCAAGAAAATTAAATCTTAAATCATAAGAATATAAAAATAATAAATATAATAACAATTAAAAGGCTCGTGTATTGCAATGCAAAAATAAACAGATTAACATTAAAGGGCCGCGCGCGACAATACGAGCAAATTAATAAGATAGAAATAAAAATAAATAAAACAATTAATTATAAGTTCGTTTAATTACAAGATCGCAAACGTTTCGACTTAACTTAGTCTTCTTCTGTATGATATTTAAACATTTTTTAATTAAACGAACTTATAATTAATTGTTTTATTTATTTTTATTTCTATCTTATTAATTTGCTCGTATTGTCTCGCGGCGCGGTCCTTTAATGTTAATTTGTTTATTTTTGCATAAGAATATATTTTTCTTGATTTAATTATATAAAATGGCTTCATTCAAGTAAGCAATTATTCAAGCAATTATATTTTTCTTTAATTAACGCAATATAATCTCATTTCAAGATTTCCATATTAAAACTAAATATATTTTCAAAACAAGAATGTCCTTTTTTTCTGTGTACAAATATACTATATTCCATTATTTGATTAGGTATAATGACAGAGATAGGTAGAGGTACTATTAGGAGCATCATATGCAACGCAAATTTAGTAGTAGACGTTGTACCTGTCGATTTTGTTGTCGATACATTAATATGCGCGTCTTGGTATAACGCTACGCAACGTTCCGATACGATAAAGATTTATAATTGTACCAGCAGCTCATTGCATCCAATCACGTGCGTATATGAAAAACTGGTATATAGTATAATATAGTATAATATAACGTAATGAAGCAATAAATAAAAGTATGATGTTTATATGATATTTAAGAACATAGTGAGAGACACTATAAAAAAAAAATGTGTGATTTTGCAGATGGCGTGAATTCGGACATCTTACGAGGAAGCACGCTATAGAATCTCCATCGAAATACGTCATGTGGTATCCAGACTTTACGTTTAGAACAAACAAATTCATTCACACTATCATGGTAGCTATGTTGCACTTCTTACCTGCATTCATCGTAGATCTTATATTAAGGGTCCAAGGTTATAAACCTATGTAAGTGCTTTCTTTCTCTTGTTCTAACCAATTATATTTATAATAATAAATTCTAAATTATAATAAATTATAATAAATTCTAATAATAAATTTATTATAATAAAAATTATAATAAATTCTAAATTATAATAATAAATTCTAATATAATAATAAATTCTAAATGATATTTATAATAATAAATTATAATAATAAATTAATTTTGAGTGACGATTTTTTTCTCTTTTCTCTTACTTTTTTTCTTTTTTTTTCAGAATGATGAAAATCGCCAAACGTTTCGAGCGCGCCGCTAAAACTGGAGAGTTCTTCACGATGAACGAATGGAAATTCTGTGCTGATAACATGACGAAGTTAGTGAAATTTGTAAGAGCGTCGGGTGATTGTGACGATTTCAACGTAGATATCAAAAGTTTAGATTGGGATACGTACTTACATCAATACATATTAGGAATTAGAAAATATATTTTGAAAGACAATTCAGATACGTTAAATAATGCCCGAAATCGTTTATCGAAGTAAGTCTTCCAATTTCATATTCTTATTTACATTTTCGAGCTTGCAAGATAAACGTTGCGCAGGAAAAAATAAATCGATTATTAATGTATTTCAGATTGTATTGGATGCATAAATTAACCAAAGTATTCAGTATATTCATGTTATTAGGAATGATCAAGTGTGCCGGTCGGTCATCGAGAAATTATACGGAAGCTTTTGGATCGCAATTCTAGGAACACTGTAAAAATATTATGGAAAATATTTTAGGAAAGAGGAACATATAACTTTGTAGTACTAAACTGTTGTCAAGTAACTAATTTACTAATTAAATCAGATATTAATGGGAAGGAGAGGAGGAAAGAAAGGAAAGGTAGTTCAAGAAATATAATTTTGAAAAGCGTAAATGTAGAATGATTGTAAATACTATAAAATCTTTGTTTAAAACATTTTCTCACATATCTCTCACATATTTTGTACGATAATTATTAAGTTAGCTTCTTAAAGATCCTACAATTGACACGTACAAAAAATGTTATGTTTCTTATTTTGTGTTATTCTATCAAGATATACATATACAGAGAATTCAAAGATCAAAGATAAAAATTTTCAAACATTTCCTTATATTATATATAGGATGTCCCATTTTATTTTTGTCAGTCAAATATCTCGATTTTACTTAGAGTTAGAAGAAAATGTTTCAGACAAAAGTTGTATGGCTTGAAGGGGGCCAGAGATGATGTCATTGATTTGACCACAAAAAGTCGTTCGAAGATTACGTGAATGTCACCTTCAATTTTTTTAAATGGAACCTACTCTATCATTACATATTCTTATAGCTTATCTCGAAAGCTTTCCAAAACACTATAATTAAGTTAATTTTTATTGGAGTACTTTTTGAGTTATGAAACTTGAAATTTCTTCTTCATTCATGAAATTCATTTCTTAATTTTACATAAACTGTAAAATATGTTGTGAAATATTCATTTTTCGATTATCATACTTTAATACTTTTAATACTTTTACAAATAATGAAAGAAATCAATTGGTGTAAAGAAAAAACATAGTTGTTATTAAAAAGAAATATGTAATTGTTAATTGCAAATTACATATTTTTTCTTGAAAACAGTAATTTATAGTTAAATTTTTCAACTATTTAATCACAAATTACTCAAATATCTGANTTTTTTATTTTTGTGTCTATTGTGCTTACTTAATCAATACTAATAGATTTTTTTATTATATTATTTTTTCATTATTATTTACTTTTCAATTATTATTATTTTCCATTTTTATTATATTACACAATTATATAGTACAGGCGCTATCATAATCAATATTTGGTTGCACAATACCAAATCTAAAAGTATTGATAAGTACTTTTTTCACAATTTTATTTATTAAAAATATATAGATTGAAATGTCTAGAATTTCCATTCTTCATTATGTAATGTCTTCCTATTTATTGAATGTACTATAAGTATGACGGATCCTATTGATTTATATATTTCTCATGTTATGTATATACTTGAGTTATTAAATTTGTAAAAAATTATATAATATGTTATATGAAAAATTATCTACATATAAAAAAATTTGAGATGGATTTTGAAGCAGATGCTAATTATGTGATTCATAGTTATTTCTTATAAGTAAAAATTTTAACTTTTTATAGGTAAAGTTTTATATTTTTAGAATTTGAAGTTTCTTTAAATATTGAGCTTCTTTTGATTGGATTTTAATAGTTGATGATGAATCAGCAAATAAAGGAACTGGTAATCCAAATATCTTATGAACTGTTTTTCCAAAAGGTAATAATGTAGCTGCAATACCCGTAAATGCCATTGTACATACACGTTTATTTCTAATTCTAGCTAAATAATAGATAGTTGTGTATATATATGTTTTACCTGATCCACCTGGACCATCAATATAAAAACAATTATTTTGAGGTAATATTATTATTTAATTCATTTAATATAAGATCAACGATCTCTTTCTGCTTATCATTTAATTGTTTATATTGTTTAGTGCCTATTTCCATAGCTCTTCAAATATCATGCAATTCTCTTCTTCATCATTTTCTGTTAATTGTTTTCATTTGTGGAAAATCTACAAAACTTTTACCTTCAGCACGAAGCATACTATTAATTTGTACATATGCTTTATTTGTCCTTGTAATATACCAAAATGTTGAATATAATCTTCAGACATTGCTATTTTAAAATTTTCCCACAATTCTTCAGGATATAATGATTGACAATGTAATAATATACGTACAAATAATCTACGAAGTTGTCGTGGCATCATCCATCCAACAGCTTCATTCATAGCTTTTTTCCATTCATCATCATCTTCGATCAAACCTAAAGCTAAACATGCGGCTGAAAATGATTGACAAAATTCTCCATTTACAGTTCTTAAATCATTAAAACTTGTAGCCCCTTTTATTGTGAGTAACAATAATCGTAAATGAAATAATTCTATTTGTGTTGGACTAACGGAATACATTCGTCCTATACAATTATAATGACTTTTACGTTTGACCCAACGTGATACATTTTTACCGTTAACTTTCTCTTTTTTAAATGTATAATAACTTGGAATTTCTATATATAAATACTGTTTCGCTTCTTCATCACGTAAGTTTAATGAAAAATAATCTATTAACATAGTAACTTGATCTAAAGCAGAAGTCATTACATCGTCAATGTTTTCATTTTCAATTATAATATTTTGCTCATTAGGAAGATGCACTGATAAACGTGTTATAGCGTGACTTTTATCTTGTAGTTTTTTACTAAGAATACGCCAGCTAGCTTCAACAGGTCCAACATAACAAGCTTCGATGTAATTATGTATCTCATCATGATCAATAACAACACTTTCTGTTGATTCAATAGTTATAGCAGCAACATCATGTCCTTTATAAATATATTTATATAGATATTTAACTGATTTAATACTTGAAACTACTTCAACATTTATATGACTATTAAATATAATTGATAAAGTAGGACAATATGGAACAACATAACGATTATCAACTATATATCCACCAGGACGTTCAAAAGTTGTTCCATTATTTCGTCGACGATAATAAGGATAAGCATCTTCATCCATTTTAGTTTCTTCAAGAAAAGGTTTCGGATAATGTTTTGAACAACGTCCATCTACCAAACACCAATCACCACAAGGTTCATGAATCATATGTTTCATAACTACATCATGTAGAATACGATTCTCACATGGATCAGGAATTTCAGCAGAAATATATTTATCAACAATTTGCGGAGTTGTGATTTTATAATTGTATTTTAAAGTAATTAACATATGAACATGTGGCAAACCGCGTTTTTGAAATTCAATAACATATACAAATGCTGCTATTTCACCAAAAAATTTTTGTTTAACAATTAAATCAATTAAATAATCTTTTTTTATATTAAAAACACGAGCACAAATATCAGGTCTATCCGAAGCTTGTTGACCAGATAAAAGATTTTCTTCAATTTCACGCCATTTTGGATTACAAGTCATAGTAATGAAAAGATCTGGTTTACCAAATTTACTAACTATTGCCATTGCATCTTGATAATTTTGTAACATATTGCGTAGCGATCCAGTAAATGTAGAAGGAAGTACAACCATTTTTCCAATACGCCCATTTAAATTATTAGCCGTAGTTTGTAAATAATCTCTTAAACCTTGATATGTTTCACTACGTAATTCTTTTTGATGATTTTTACAATAATCAATTCTATCTTTTTCCATTTTTACGTAGCTGTCTACAAGCCATTGTTGAAATAAGCGACGTCCTAATAAAAAAAACATTAAATTCATCACGAATAGCTATACGATATTTAATATACTGTCCTCTAGTTATTCGTCTATCACTATTTAATTTTTTTAAATCACGATGCCATCCTTGAGTACCATATGGATAAAATAATGGATATATCCATGGTTCTACATTTGGATCCATAATACTAACTTTTTGTAAAGTTTTAGTATTTTTATTACGTATTGTAACATATGATTCTGGAATTTCTCCATCAGCTGTTGTAGAGAATACAGCAGCAACTTCATTGGTTCTTTGAGTATTATATCGACGTCGATCCATATCTGGTCTTGAAGTAAATACCAATTGTAACTCCGGTAATAATTCACCAGATTCCATTTCTAAACGTCGTTGCTTTTCTAATTCTTCACCCATCATTTGATAAGACTGAGCAAATACATTAAATTTCCGCATTATTTGTTCAAGGTTTTGTACAATTTCAAAATCTATGTATGAATTTTGATTCAGACGATGATTTATTGCTCATTTGAATCTACGATAAAAAGTTGGCCATAAGTAGGATTTTCGTTTTGTGCAGCATATAATGCTTTATTAATTTGATAATAAATCTGTCCTTGTATTTTAAAACAATATGGACCAGGTCGTCTATTTTGAAAGTTAATTAAATTAGCATTAAATGAAGCAAATGAAAATGAACTGTTATAACTACGAATATTTTGAAAAAAATTATTAGATTTTATGTGACTACCATCAAATAAACTACGAATGAATTGAGGAAATTCAGGTAATGGTTGCACATATACTGCACCATGATTACAACAATTATGAAATGAATATCCTCTATTAGAAACTTTTTCAGCTGCAAAGTGTTTTGCATTACAATGAATACAATACACATCCATAGGACCAATATAATATTCAATTACATCAGTAAATGATAGTGTACTAATATTATTCAAACAAGATCGTTTTTTTTGCCGTGATCGATAACGAGTTTGATATTCTACAGATGATTGTAATGTTGATCTAACACTTAAAGGATTTTCTTCATTTTCCCTATCTAATTCTATTACACGATTATCATTTGATGTACCAGCAATACAAATAGTTTGTTGTTTTGACTTTTTTAAAGAATTTTCAATTAATTTCTTATTTTCATGACGACGTCGTTGATTCTCCCTTCTTTTTTCTCGATGTCGTTGTAAAAATTCTTCTTTTTCTTCTAAAGTACGTACAATTTTACGTCTCGTCATTTTATAAGAATTTTCTATATTAATATACTATATAAAATCTTAAAGATATACACGTAATATTATTAATAAATATTAATAAAAAGAAAATAATTTATACAAGAAACTTTTTACTATTGAAATATCTGTTACACTATTTTTATATTATAACTATTAAATAATCTACATACTATTACTATATGAATAAGTTATTATTATTATTATTTATATATTATTTAAATATTATTATTTATAAATTATTATTATTATTATTAGATTAAATTTAATTAAGATAAAAATTAATATTCTCTTTAGGAATGGAATTTGACGAACTATTGTTGGTGTTACAATTGTCATTTACTTTTAGTAATATATATGGATCGATGTCGATACAACGCTCAAAAAATTAATAAAATTGTTGCTGTTTTTTTCACTTATAAATAAATTAACTTACATAAATAAGTTAATTATTATAGTTATTGAACTATAGTTATTGTTAAAATTATTATTTTGTTATCATCATTATCATCATCTTCATTGTCATTATTA